AACATTTCAAGGATGATAAGCCAAAAAAAGAAAACCCCTCACTCTGTATATGTGTAAAATTCAATGACTTTAGTAATTTATAGATGAGTGCAGCTACCACCACAATCCAGTTTTAGAACATATCATCCCCCTAACTTCCCTGTTTCCAGCTAATCTTCCCCATCCCAAGCCCTAGGCTCCCAATGATCTCTTTCTGAGTCTACAAATTTGCTTTGTGCAGACATTTCATGTAAATGGAATCATTTCATGTAAAACGTAATCTTTGGGGTGTGGCTTCTTTCACTTAGTACTGTTACTGGAAAGGGGACCTGTCCCTGACGGGTCTGCCTAGGGCCAGCTGGTAGCGTGTGGGTTCTTGACATCATATAGGAAAACTCTCACTACAGAAGTCGGGGTGAATTTTAGAGGATGTTTGTTAAAGCTGGGGACAGAGGAACAGGAAGGGGCTGGGCAATGAGCCCAGGCTGGTCTGCTTTGGCTCACTAAGCATTCAGAGAGCCCAGCTGGTGGGGCTCAGCAGTTGAGCATTAACTCAGGAATCAGGAAGTCACAGTTTGATTCCGGTCAGGGCACATGCTCTGGTTGCAGGCTTCATTCCTAGTAGCAAGTGTGCAGGAGGCAGCTGATCAATGATTCTCATCATTGATGTTTCTATCCCTCTCTCCCTCTCCCTTCCTCTCTCTGAAATTAATAAAAAACTAAAAAAATAAAAAAAAAACAAGTCTGAGAAAAAGGGGTCGTGAGGACAGGATCAGGGTATTTGTTGGGACAAACTGCTGCTGACCATTGCTGCTCTGGTTGCAAGCCTCATGGGGTCCCATAGAGTTTAGGGGTGCATGCCTGTGGGGGAAGAAGGGGAGGGGAGGCTCAGACGTGCTCCTGGGAAGGAGCAAGTGGGCAGGTCCTTGATCTTCAGGCTTTATCTCTCTTGCAGGCAGGAATCTTATGGGAGGTCTCGGGGGAGGGTTTCTTCTAGGTGTGCTCCTTCATGGTTGTGATCTTCACTGATTGGTCAGTGCCAGGGCAGGGGGTTATTGGTCATTGCAGCTGGTCCTGGCATCGCCCACCTGATTTTGCTGCTTTTCTGGACCTGGAGCTGAACTACAACTGAGGCCTAGAAGTTATCTCCAGGGAGGTGACCTTCTGCATCTGCTGTAAAATGCTCTCCCAGTTTGTTCACTATTTGTCTCAGTTTCCCCTATTCCGCTTGTCCTGGCCTGTCTCATTATAATGTTTTCAAAGTTCACCAATTTTGTAGAAGTATCATTATTTTCTCTTTATCTCTTTTAGTTGTTCCTTTTTTTGCTAAGTGGTGTTTCATTATATGGATACTAGAGGCCTTGTGTGTGAAATTCATGCACAAGTAGGGGGGGAGGGCTTCCATCAGCCCAGCCTGAGCACTCTTGCAATCCGGTACCCCTCGGGGGATGTCTGACTGCAGGTTTAGGCCCTGGGATTGGGCCTAAACTGACAGACAGACATCCCTCTCACAATCTGGGACCTCTGGCTCCTAACTGCTGGCCTGCCTGCCTGCCTGATCGCCCCTAATCGCTCTGCCTGCCTGATCACCCATAACCACTTGCCTGCCTGCCTGCTTGCCTGATCACTCCTAACTGCTCTGACTGCCTGCCTGATTGCCCCTAACCACTTGCCTGCCTGCCTACTCAGTTTGTGTCATAGCAACCGGTCATTGCCATTCGGTCTATTTGCATATTACCCCTTTTTTATATAGCATAGTACATTTTTTTCATCCATTCACTGACTAATGGATATTTGGATCCTTTCCAGTTTAGGGCTATTAGGACTAAGGCTGCTATGACCATTTGCACACATATATTTGTGAGTATATATGCTTTCATTTCTCTTGGATAGATTCCAAGGAGAGGAGTTGCTGTGTCATATGGTAAATGTGTGCTTAACTTCCTAAGGAATTGCCCCAGTATTTTCTGAAGTAGTTATACTATTATACACTCCCATCAGTTTTTATCCTCAAACATAATTATAACAATGATGATGCTGGTAATGGGAACAATTGCCCCTTATTTTATTATTTTACTTTCATTTTATGTTTTGATTTTTATTCATCAGGGATCCATTTTGTTGAAAGGGCTGAGTTTGGAATTCATCTTACCAAAAACTTGAACCTCTCTACCTAAGCTAAACCTCCGGGATCTAATTCAGGCCTCTGTTTTACTGGTGCATTTAACTAATAATTAATCAATGCAAAAACTGCTTATCAAAATAAATGTATAACAGGTTATAGCATCTTGTAAACCTAGTCATTGTTTATATGTCTTTTTTCACAATTTTCCGTGGAAAATATATTTTTTTTCTCATTAAAAAATTAAGTATCAGCCAATAAGTTCTAAAAACAAATTAATCCTCTTGCTTGTTTATGTGTTTGTTTTCCATAATTAGATATATGGCTGAGATTTAGTACTCAATTAAAAAAAACAACAACTCATAACCTTGAATTGATGTTGCCCATTAAGAATCTATCATCATTTCTGAGGAAATAATTTAAACTGCAAGCAATCTGAAAGTGCAGAGCTATAGTTTCTGTACCCTAAAACCATTCCTCCCTACTTCATATACCATTTCTTTCTTTTTAAAAAATATGATTTCGCTCCCTTTCTTCCCATGCCCACACAAGGCGAGTCTATGGTTGTAATCCCAGGGTCCTCCTCATGTGTGGGAAGTAGGTGCACGGGGAGGGGGGACTCAGGGAAAGTTTAGTTGCTCCTTATAAAAGCTCATAAGAGAAACCTCTCTGTTTTCCCACCTTTAGAAGTTGTTGTGAGAAAGTACGAGGCCTAAAGCTGCCTCAGGCACCCTGCCGTCTTGGGGGAGCTGACAGGCAATAGAGGGGTGAGATGCCAAGTCCAGGTTCACTGGCAATGCCACTGGCCTCAGGAGCTGACCAGCTCTGGAGATGCCCCACCCGGGCTCTACCTTCCACGTACAACAATAAGTGTAAGAAACATAAAGCAAATGAGGCTGGATTTTCTACAGAAAGCATCTTCATCAAAACATACTCCACTTTCTACCTTATATAATTTCACACCCCAGCTCTAAAATAAAATGAGACAACTCACTTCATCTGAAAGCAAAGTGAGAATAAAGTTGAACCCTGGGTTTAAATAGAATTTATCTCAACTGCACATATTGCAGATGTTACTATCAGCTTATTGAACTCCAGCACAATGATAACCTGTTTCACACAACTAATCCACAATGTAATTAAAATATGCATAATCTTTAAATTTGCTTGAAAATAAAATAACCATCTCTGATAGTAGAGAAACTGAAATATACATCTCATAAGTTATTACTCTTTAGATTTTAGATTCACACTGAAACTGACTATTCAGGTGAAACACACAAGCAGAACCCATCATCTTCTATCTAACCACATCAGGTGTCTTTCCCTGAAACCTGTTCAACTCCTTTATTTTATTAAAGTTGATGGAATGTAGAACTATCTACTGGTTTACAGTTATAGTTTCACAATGTTTTATGCAAGGATCAAAAAGTTTTGATTTTTAATTGTATATTTTTGTCATGTTTATTTCAATTGTTAGTTTGCTTACCATTTTTATGTAATCTTTGAAAATTTTGATTTAAACTTTCTATCAATAATAATAAAAGTGTAATATGTTAATTAGACCAGAAGTCCTTCTGGATGACCTTCCAGACAAAGCTGGGGCTGCGAGGGAGGCCTGGGTCCCCGGTGCCAGAGGGAAGCCAGTGCCAGTAGCCAGGGGAAGGAAGGCCTACTCTTGCACAAAGTTCGTGCATCAAGCCTCTAGTTATAGATATTTTAATGATTTTCAAGATAAAATTATTAAATATGTTTTAAAAAGTCTGTCTTTTATCCTTGTCCCCATCCAGCCCTCATTTAGCCCCATAGGCAATCACTTTTTAAATTCTGTATTGTTTCTGTTTATAAATATAAAGATAGAGGATAGGTATGTCTCTGTATTCCTATTCTCCTCTATTTTATTTAAGACATACGTGTGTACTGTGCAAACTCTGCTGCTCCGTGCTCACAGGCACTGGGAGGCCACCCCACAGGAGTCTCCCACGTTCCCTCCAGGGCAGAGGATCGCACGCTGGGGGCACATCAGGGAGCCACACGCTCCCCTGGGGGCCCAGCAGGGGCCCTGGTTGGTGCTCAGATCAGCTCCACACAGGGTTTCCTGTGACAGACAGTGAGTTTGCCACACAAGCTGGAGGCCTCAGAAGCGCACCTTTCCCACTAGAGTGGCAGCTCTGTCCTGATGGCCTCCGGGACCTGCTCAAGGGGAAGGTGCATCTCAAGGCAGAGTCAGCACAGCAGGCCTTTTATCTGAGACACAAAAAGACTGAAGTGTGGAAGCCACCATTAGTCTCATAAAGGGGACTTCAAGAGGCACTGGGTTTAGGAACCTTCTTTTAAAAAATCAGAGAAAAGGACAGGATTATAGAAACTGTGGGTCAGCTGGTGTGGCTCAGTGGTTGGCATTGACCTGTGGACCAGGAGATCAGGGTTCAATTCCCTGTCAGGGTACATGCTCAGGGTTGTGAGCTTGATCATGCAGGAGGCAGACAATCAATGATTCTCATATCTCTCTCTCCCTCTCCCTTCCTCTCTGAAATCAATAAAAGTTTTTTTTCTTTAAGAAACTATAAAGGCATAGCATCCTAATAAGCATCCTGCATTTCTTATACTTGCTGTCCCCCTCTGTATCCCCTGGACAAAGAAACCTGTGTTCTTGTCGTTGAGAAACACAGATGTAGGAGGCCACTGTGAATGGGTCTATGGCAGGCTCTCTCCTGGCTCAGGAACCAGGCCGATTACAGGAGGGAAAACTCATGAAAAAGCAGGACGGGAACAAGGAAACCTTCCAGATGCCCACATGACCAGATTCAGGAAAATAAGTGAAAATCATTGTTGTGTTGTGTTGAGATTTTCTCTCTTTTCTTCCCTACTTCCTGCCTTTGAATCCATGTGAGGCAGATGATTTCACTCCATATTTAATTGAGGAACATTTTATGAAGAAATGTGGGTAGAGGTGAGCTGAGGTGCTCAGCAGACAGCGAGAGGTGAACACACAGGGACAGGGAGGGATGGTGATAAGGGTCTGCAGTCAGCACTGGGTCTTCCAGGTCCAGGGCGGGGAGGAACCAGCAGGGAGGAGAGGCTGCAGGTCAGGAGCCAGGACCCAGCCAGAGCCTGAGGCGGCTCTCCTTGTGGAGTGAGAGCCCAGCAGGAAACCTCTTCAGGCTGCGAAGGGGCCAGACAGAAGGTTCTCTCCTGCCCCTGTCGCCATGGCCACCTCAGCTCAGGAGTCCTGCAGACAGAGGACAGTGCTGTTCCCAGGCCCCGCCAGCAGGGGCGCTGCCCTCCCAGGCCTCCTGCTGGGGCTCCCAAGTGAGAAGAAAAGCTCTGAAGTCACAGGAGCCACAGCTGCTTCAGAGCTGCCTCTCACCAGGCGGGAGGAGACCCTGCAGTGTAAGCGGCCAGAGCCACACCCAGGCTCCCCGCTACCTGTCCCCTGGCTCCTCCCCTGCACCTTCTGTTCTAGGGAAACCGAATGCGTCCCTGAGAGAGGATTAGAGAGCGTTACCTGTGGGCTGAAGTCCAGAGTGTCCTGGGAAGAGAAGGAAGATGCCACTTAAAGATATGAAGGTAAGTGTGTCCCCAAACACAGGGTCCCCGCCCAGGCCACCTGAGCTTCTCAAGCAGCACCCCCACCCGCTGACACCAGAGCAGAGACCAGAGCAGAAGCTGAGAGCAGTGGCCCCGAAGCCGTCACATCCAGTGTCATTAGTGACCACAGGGCCTGCTCCTCCATGTACCCCAGGATCTGCACCCAAATCCCGTGATGTTAACCCCTATCTACCCCCACAGCCATGAATCCTCATGTCTCAACCCTAAGAACCGGGAGCTGGTTATTTCTGCATTTCCAGGACATGTGAGACCGACAGGGAAAGAGAGGCTTCTAAGGCATTGCCATACCCAGAGCTCACCCAGCAAAGCCCCAGTTCCCCCCACCATCTCGGGGCCTCGGCTGCCAGCAGCTCCTCACCTTTCTGAGCCCTGAAGTAGATGAGCAGCCCCACCCCGAGGAAGAGCAGCCCCAGCACGAAGCCCCCGGCTCCACTCAGCACCTTGCTCTGTGCGGATCCAGACTGGGCCCCTGAGAGAAGAAGCAGGTTTCAGTGGGTTTTGGCCCAAACCAACTTCTCTAATGGAGACCCTGGGATTGGGGGGGGGGGGGGGCTACCCTAGAAGAAGCAGAACTATAGCCATTTCCGGGAAAGAGACTGAGGTCACACTGAGTGGCTACAAGGCCCAGGCACTGGCCTCAGGTCCCCTCACTCCCGAGCCAGGGCTCTGCTTCGGCCTCTGAGGCTGCGGAGCCCGGGGCTGGTGACCTCCAGGACTTGGCCCAGGTCATAGAGCCACAGACAGCACAGCAGACGGGGCTCTCCCGCGGCAGGAAGGTCCCCACGCTGTGGAGGACGCACCTCTTCCCAGATCACAGGGGGCAGCTCAGCGCAGGCTGAAGCACCGCCCAGCCCACAGGGGATGGTGCCCAGGGCCCAGGGGCACCATGAGGGGAGAGTGTGGGGATTCAGAACAGGGCAGGCATGGCGGCCTCCCAGGGCTCTGGGTGTCCACAGAAGCAATCACAGGGCTACCCTGTGGCCTGTGCTGAAGGAGAGACACGAACAAAGGAAAACGTGGTGTGGGGAGAGGGGACCCTGACCCTCAGGGACAAGCAAAGGCCCCTGCAGGGGGAGGCGTGCGAGGTCAGAGGGCGTCTCACTCCATTCCACGGTGACAGGACTGGTGCTGCTGGGGTGCCGCACTTGGCAGGTGTAGACCTCCCCGGTCCAGGGAACTGTCTCCAGCATCACCAGGGTCTGGAAGGTCCAGTCCCCGTTCCGGATCAGGCCCGTGGACACCACCCCGGCCTCCTCTTCCTGGCCGTTGCGCAGCCAGCGGACCTCAATGGAGCCCGGATAGAAGCCGTTCACAGAGCAGACCAGGAGGTTGTGGTGCTGCAGGCGCTGGGTCTTTGCAGGATACACGGTCACTGTGGGCTCAGCTAGGACAGAGAAGGCAGAGGGAGACGTGAGCAAGACAGGCAGGCCCCTTGGTTGCTCCCTTTCGGCCTCGTCTCCAGTCCCGGGCTCCAGGCCCGGCCAGGCCCCCCTCAAACCCACCCTGTGGCCCCGCAGGAGGTAGTGCCATGGGCCCTGAATCTCTGCCTACAGCCCAGGCCACTGGATTTGAGAGACGTTGAGGACATTTGGGGGATTTTTATCTGGAAACAGTTACTCATTGTTGAATGAAGTGTTTACAAATCTTTGCGAGGCACAGAGTGTGTGAGTTCCAGTGTGATTTCTGGAGCAGGGCTGCCTGGTCACATCCAGGCTGTGCCTCTTACTGGCTGATCCTGGGGGATCCTCTCTGCTCAGCTCCTCACCTGCAAAGGGGGTGATAATGCTAACTCACCGCTTAAGGACATTTGAGGACCAATGGGCCTAAAACATGTGCAACAGCGGCTGGAACGTAGCCATCACTGTATGTCAGCTGTTTATCACATATGGAGAGAGAATATAAGGAAAGCAGAGGGAGAAACTGGGGAACAGCTTGGGGAGATGGGGACTCAGGGTGTGAAGTCCTGGGAATGTGATCACACCTGAGAACACAGAGATGGTTCCCCTGGAAGCAGGAAAGACGGGTGATTCCCTAGCTCCGGGGGCTGAGTCCTGAGGGAGAGGGAGGAGCAGGGCAGCACTCATTATAACACTTACAGTGACACTCACTGAGCAACCCGCTCCTTCTCAAAAGAAGCCTGTTATTGGGATTCCTGTCATTTTATAATTGTCTCTCTTTTCAATCTGACATTTGAGCTCAGGGCAGGTTCTGGGACTCATTCATATGTGTGCTTCCTGCCTGAGACCAGGCCCAATAAATACAGATTTAGAGGAGGAGGAGGAGAGGGAGGAAGAACCTGGGGAAAACATTCTTACTTTACCCTAAAAAAGTAGATTTAAGATTGATGGTAAATCATTGCTAGCAGCCTGGCCTGTGTGACTCAATGGTTGAGTGTCTCCGTATGAACCAGGAGGTCATGGTCCGAATTCCGGTCAGGGCACATACCTGGGTTGCAGGCTCGATCCCCAGTAGGGGGTGTGCAGGAGGCAGTCAATCAATGATTCTCTCTCATCATTTATGTTTCTCTCTCTCTCTCTCCCTTCCTCTTTGAAATCAATAAAAAAATATTTTTTAAAAAAAATCATTGCTAACAACTTTACAATACATTTCATTACCTTAAAGATGTTTAAATTTCTAACGTGTAAAATTAAAAAACACAAGCCAGGAGCTGGAGAAAATGCTGAATCAATGTCAGTGAAGTTCCCTCTTGCTGCCTAGAGAACCTGGAATATCACTGAGAAAAAGGCCCGGACCCCAGGGATGACGGACAATAGGCCATTCCTAGAGCAGGAACAGCCATTAGCCAACACATACGTGAAAACTGTTCAAGAACCTTAGAAATCAAAGAAGGATAAATTTAAAGTAAAAAACAAAATTTCAACTGAGTATTTGGCAATATTGAAAAAGATTTAAGAAAACAGTGTTAGGTAAACACAACTCTAAACAGTTAACATGTAATGACTTAAATGCTGTCAGCCTGTGTAGATGTGACGTCAGTGAGTTAAGTAACAAATTACAATGAGACCCTGGCTCCCCATCACCCCCTCTGTAAACACAGGGCACTGAGGGGGGAACAAGACACTGAGACCTGAAAGGAGCTCAGAGAGGCCAGAGGTGCCTCGGAGGCCCCGCCCCTCACACCCAGCCTGACCCTCCGCCCAGGGACAGGCTTGTGCACCCAGCACCCCCATTCCAGGGCTCAGGGTCAGGGGGGGTTTGGCCAAGACAGACCGACTCCCTCCTCCCACCTCCCACCTCCCCTCTACTCCCCAAACCCTCCCCCCACTGGACAGGACTGGGCACCCCGGAAACGCCCTACACAGGACAGGACCTCAGGGTCCCACAGCCGCCCTCTGGCCCCTCAGGGGGCTCCTCACAGCGCTGTGTGCGCCCCCTCCCCCCCACTCCCACCCCGTCCCCCGCCCCCGCGCTCACTTTTCCGCTGCACCAGGAATCCCTCAAACACCCCGTAGTTGTGTCTGCAGAACGTGTCCACATAGGCCCGCTCCCGCTCCAGGATGCCCTCCTGGCTGTTCCAGTACTTGGCGATGTTGGCCGCCCCAGCTCGGTCACCGCGCGGAACTCCCCCACGTCGCTGTCGAAGCGCACGTACTCCTGCCCGTTGTAGAAGTATCTGTCCAGGAACCGCACCCGCTCTGTCCCGTTGGAGAAATGACACTCGATCTTAGCCTGATACAGGAAATTTGCTGCGGGGACAGGAAGGACCCCTCATGCTGGTGAGAGAAGATGGCGACGCCGCCCAGTGTGGGCGCCAGGCGGTGGGGACACAGGACCCGGCACCCCCACTGCCAGCGCCCGGGGCCCTCCTCTGGGGCTGGGAGGCCGCAGGGCAGGGAGACCCCTGGGACCCTCAGCCACTGGGGCACCCACTGGGCTGCCCCGCGGCGCTCCGGGCTCCAGGTTGGGGAGGACTTGTGCCATCACCGCCTCCTCCTAGACGCCCCCCCCTCACCCCCCAGCCTCTCCCTTCCCCACACCCGCCTCCTCCTGTCACCCCCTGGGCAGGGGACCTCGTGCCAGGCCCCAGCTGCCCGGGACCCAGGCAGGAAACCCGGCATCGCCCTCCGCTCTGCAGCTTAGAATTCACCAAAGTGCCCATCACAGCCCAACCACAGGCCATCCACACAGGAGGGAGATGGCAGGAAAGGGGGCCTGGAGCAGGGACCACATGGTCCAAGTTACTGAAATTACTTGTGGGGTCACCACGATTCATGACTCATAAAGGAGAGACCTGGAAGGTCAGGAGAGATACGATGACCAGAACTCATGACCTTTGGACAAACATCGCAGAAGGCAAAATAAAAAGGAAGGTTTTAAACTTCAAGTGATTGAATGGATTCAACAAGAAAGTGGTGACTTTGTGTAACTGTCTAGCTTTTTTGTTTGTTTGTTTGTTTGTTTGTTTTTTCTTAAACCGTGAAGAGCTGCATTGGACGGTGCATGTGTATAAAGTGTGAGTCTAGAATTTTCAGAAACAGCCGGTGTCCAGCAGTGTTCTCACCCTCACACTATAGACGTTTGGACCGGATGACTCTGTGAGGTTGGGGTGGGGGTCTGTACACAGTGGGCTGCACACGGCATCCCCACCAGCTGTCAGAGACACCCCCGTGTGAAAGCCAGACATGGCTTTACATATTGCAGACGTCCCAGGGGTGGGAAGGAGGGGAAGGGGTGGTGAACCATCTGAAAAGTCTGGGGAGAAAAAGCCACTGTTGATTATGCAGCAGCTGGGAATTACAATAAAAATTTAGCCAATATTGTGTCTGTGGAAAGGCTTGGTCTGTAATCTTTAGGAATCTGGTTCCAGTGAGACTATGTTTCCAGCAAAATAAACTTGTTCAGGACCAAGATCTACCTGTTTCTTTGCCTTGCCACCCAATCACCGAGTCATCATTATCCTCCACATCATCTTCTTTTGTAATCTCCTGGCCACTGGCCCACTGCTTGTCCACAGGAGCAGCTACAGCCACGGCCATTTGATTCCTGTTCAAAGTCCCAACTAATTCACGTTCTAACTGCCTCCTGCTCCCAGTAACACCAGGAGGCATCAGGGTACCAGCCTTGGCCGGATGTGGACTCTCATTTCCACAGGCAGGTCCCTCAGGAGGGGAGCAGCTGAGATGACCCCTCACAGAGACAGATTACAAACAGGAGCAGGTCCCAGCTTTAGGTGGAGGCCTTCACGTAGAAGTGATGGCAGAGGGGAGGGCACTCTGCTCAGGCTCAGGCTATGTAACTTTTCACAGATTCTCCAGCACCTTCCTGACACAGGAGAAGCTGGAAATAAACATGTGTGAGCTGCTGCTCACTGTCGCCTGTGTGCTCAGCACTGTCAGGCCAGGCTCATGGGCCCAACTGAAAGGCCGCCAGATAAAGCAAATAAAAATTCACGATTCCCAGCACATGTGGATTTCAGATAAATAATTGTTGTTTCTCTGAAATTCAGCTTAAGTCGGGCTCCTGTATTTCCTTTGGCAACACAAGCCCACCTGCTGATGAAATATGAGGCTGAGGTGTGCACTTAAACTTCTTAGTGTTCCTCACGAGCTCACAGCATAGTGTGAGCCCATATGGAACTTTTCAAGTTGTAAATGCAAAATGGATGTAAACTCCTCCTGTGTATTGGAACTGGCAGCCCTTGCACCTGCTGCCCCCAACCCTGAGACACACGCTGGCCCATGGGAACATCAGAAATCTCAGCAGCAAGTCAGACCAGCCAAGCCCCTGCTCACAGTGGGGGTGGAAGCCCAGGCTCTAGAATGAGGAACCTAAATTAGAACATGAGCTCCCACTGGGTCAGATTGTAACACCCATGGGCCTTGTTCTTTATCTCTGATATGGATTTACTGATACTGTATTCCTCACAGGATAGTGTTAAGTCTGGGATTGAATAGTGATTCTTTCTGATGCTGATCATATAAGCACTCAATAAGTACATTGCTATTTTAATTCTTATAACCCCTAGGAATGCAAGCTCATAAGATCTTTCTATTCCTTAACTTCCTAGATCACATAATATCTTCATCACCATTTGGCAATTGTCTTTAATTAATTTTATCACTAAATATCATTTTGATCACAAGGACAGAAACATTGGTCTCTGTATATAACGGGATATACATGCACCTAATATGAAAGGACTATGCTGACATAGAAGAGAGGGACTTTCTAGATACTGAGATCTAGACTATGTCACCTGGTTCTACAACTAACCATGTGACTCTGGGTAAGTTGCTTAAACTCTCTGAATTAGATTCCATGGATTATTGACTTTTAGCCCCATGGGATGTAAGCAACCTTCACACTCTCTTTCTACCCCCGCTCAATGTATATAATTTGAACATATGAAATTGCTAACATTTAACTATTTTTAACTTAGAAACACAGAATTTCATATAATTTATCTCTACTAGTTGAGCTCAGGCCAGAGAAGGGAAGATGTAGGAGAAACTGACACACCATGTTGGAGAACAGAGAGGACAGGATGCAGAGAGCAGTACAGAAAGGTTCAACATAGATCCTTAATGAGCACTAACCTGGCCAGGCATTCAGAAGATGCCTTAAGACTCAGCGGTTCTCAACCTGTGGGTCGCAACCCCTTTGGCAGTCGAACGACCCTTTCACAGGGGTCGCCTAAGACCATCCTACATATCAGATATTTACATTATGATTCAGAACAGTAGCAACATTACAGTTATAAAGTAGCAACGAAAATAATTTTATGGTTGGGGGTCACAACATGAAGAACTGTTTTAAAGGGCCAGAAGGTTGAGAACCACTGCCTTAAGTTCTTTAAGGCACCAAAGACCACCCTGTAGATGCCCCTCTCTATAGAGTCCTTCCAAGTACTAAGAATCTCTGCTTCAGCTCCCGGTGGCTTTCCACAGGAGGAAGAGAGAGCACTAACCCCACTTCTGTCAGAGAACCTCCATTTCAGGGGCACAGGCCTTAAAAACATTGGGGGTTCAGGGAGAAAGGAAAGGAGATGGTGGGGAGGCCCCTGGATACATCTCACATAGTAGGGAGAGGCACCAACATCACAGATTCTGCTGAGGACAGAACACAGGATCCTCAAAGAGAGACCCTCTAATTCCTTTGACTCCCCATAAAATGCCAGAGAAACGTTCCTTTCGGGGATAACTCAATACAATAAATGGAGCACTGGGTGGGAATCAGTCTGAGATCATTATTTCTCAATCCTCTCAAGACCCCGATGGAAGGGGACACAGGCTGGGGAGGTTTACTGGAGGCGAGGTGAGAAGAAACAGCTGAGATACATGGAGCCCCTTGCACATCTCATAGTGGCGAGCACCAGCCCCTTTTGTGGTGGAAAGAATCAGGATCCATATGGTAAAGGCAGGTGGCCACTGAAGAAAATGCCACCATTTTCTAAGGGACATGGCCTGGACACAGTGACAAAGCTAATTCCCTTTCTTCCTCCCCCCACAACAGCTCACCCCCAAGGTGCACTTACGTGGTGTGTCCCTGGCCTGAGCCAGGGGAGGGCTCAGTGCCATCAGCATCACCATCAGAGCGGCCATCCAGGAGCCTCTGGGGAACCGCAGACACACCATGCTGGAGCTCAGAGAGGACAGGGGCAGGGAGCAGGGGGGTCTCACTCAGTGAGGACTGTGACCCTTCTCCACCCACATCCCCCAAAACACCAACTGAGGAACTCATTTCTTTGTTCCTGGATTGGGTCATCTCAGTACTGAGAACCAATCAGCATCAGAGATGAACAGCATCATCAGTTGCTGGTCAGAGATTCAGTAGGAAGGTCCTCTTTTAAAACTTAGAATTTCCTGCATTAAGAAACTGTTTTAACTTAGTGATTTAAAGGTTTGATCCCGTCCTATCAGAAACGCTGTGTTGGGTCCTATTGTGAGCCAGCTCTGTGCTGGTCAGTGATGAGCACACAAGTTGGAGGCTTTGGGGAGCATTCCTCTCTCACTGCCGACAGAGCCCTTTAGACAAAAGGATGAGTGAGTGTGCTGGGAGCTGAGGGTGAGGGAGGTGATTGCAAATTAGGAGGCCTTCCATTTTGTCCTTTTGCACTATAACTTAGTGCTGCAGATTTGGGAAAATGACTTAGCCTCTCACAGTTAAAGCCACTGTGATCTTTCAGGTGTTTCAATACTGGGAAAGGCTGTGATTCTGGGGACACCTCATGGAGCAGCTTTCCCTAGTAACTGATGACATGACAGGCTTGTAGCTGCTGATTGGACAGTATAATCGGTGACCCTTTAGAGAAAGGATGTCATTCACTGAAGGAAAATGAAAGTTATTCAATAATTAACCTGAGTGAAAGGTGTTTCAGGTTTCTCTCCTGATGCTGTCACTGAGCTCAGGGCCCCTCGGGACACACTGGAGAAAGGGGCCAGAGGAGGCGATCTGTGTGGGATGGAGGGAACGTGCCTTTGGACAGCACTTACCCCACCAGTGTGATCAGGCCAACTGTCCAAACCAAAGTGCGCAGGGACTGGGAGACTGAGAAGGACTCAAAGCCAGCCTGTGGCCCAGCAGCTCTGCGTTAGAACAGCTAGTGTTTCATGTGAAAAGCATTCAGTTCTTTCCTCCTGGTCCCCATTAGGCTTTTCTCATTTCCTTGGGGGCATGTCCTCTTATTCAGTCAACTGCTCTTGCTTTATTCTAGGAACAGGTAGAAGAAGGCTCTGCTATGAAATTATTAGAGTGCTCAGGAAATGGAAATCGATGGGAAACTAGGAAGTACATTCTTTGATGTCATCATGTGATTTAGAGCATCTAGTTCTATGTTAGATAATCAGTACACGTTATACTAACATGCATGTACCTCTCAGATCCTCAGTGGACTTGAAAGGAGAATTGTCCATTGAAGTCCCACGTTAATTCTCATGCACCAGTTCTGACGCGCAGTCCTCCCCGTGCCTGCATGTGTCTAGTGACAGGATACTGACCATGCTGCAGTGAAATGACTGCATTTGGGGGGGTGGGGGGGTGGTTTTAAAAAGGAGGAAGGTGATCAAAAGGAACAAACTTCCAGCTAAGGAATAAACAAGTCATCAGGATGTAATGCACAGCTAAGAGGGTAGATCTTAAAAAGTTTTCATCTCAGGAAAAAAAAATTTGTAACTACATGTGGTATAAATATTAACAAGATGTAGCGGTCTTTTCACAATATATACAAATATCAAATCGTTATGGAAGAAGGTCCAAGGTGGTATTTAAGTAGCAGGATGCTGAACTCACCTGCTCTCATGAGCTACTCAAATATATAGAGAAAGAGAGAGGGGCTGGGGGGAGGGAGCAATTATTCCAGCAAGACAACTGAGAGCTCAATGAACAGCTCTGAACAACAAACAAGAGACAGGGACTGAACTGAGAAGGCTGGAAAGCTGCAGAAGCAACCTCACCCCTGCCCCACCCACCCCTCCTCCCACCGGGAGCTTTGGGCACTCTCTGGGTCAAAGGAGCTGATGAGCACCATGCTTTCCTCCCCCTCTGCTTTGATAAAGCAGGAGGGGCGTTATTTGGGTGCACCACCTGCAGAGTCACCTGGGTGCATTCCCAGACATCCTGCCTCTCTGACAGGAGCTGCTCCAGCCCAGTCGCCATGCCCCCAACACTGTGAATGCCTGCTCAGATCCACCTGGCTGCCCAAAGCTGCTTGGCACCTAAAGCCTACAGAGGTCACTTCTTCGCAAACCACCTTCCATTCAACAAAGAGAGAGCCATACAGAGAAGGCTGGGGAGCCATGGGAGCTCTCCAGGGCCTGAGGAATTCTCTGAGGAGCAAGAGGAAAACAATGATTTCTATCAAAGGAAACTCCATGAAACTACCAGCTGGTTTCTCTACATCAATTTTACAGAGAGAAGGGAGTGCAGGGCATCCTTAAAATGCCACAAGAAAGGAACCTACAGCCTAGAATAACTTACCCACAAGGTGATTATTTAGATTGAAGGAGAGATAGAGTTTCCCAGACAAGCAAAAACTAAAGGAGTTCTCATCATTAAAACAGTTTTACAAAAAGTGTTAAAGAGTGTTTTTTACGCAGAAAAGGAAAGGCCATAATCAGAAATGAAGAATGAAAATATGTCGCAAGTAAAGCCAAATATTTAATAAATACAGTTAATCAGGAATTTAAAAAGCTAGTATGAAGGTCAAAAGAAAACAGTATGAAATTCAACTCTCACACAACACAAAAACAATTTTAAACATACCATCAATAACAAAGTATGGAAGGGGAAGTAAAAATGTAGTCCTTGTAGAATATATTTGAACTTAAATACCTAAAAGCTAAAATCAGACTGCTATACATAAATGATATACATAAATTCCATGGTAACCATAAACCAAAACCCCATAAAACATATACAAAGAATAAAGAGGCTTAAAATGTTCTAAAAAAAAATCTATTCAGTTAACCTAGTCAAACAAAACTGCCAAACAAAAACTGTAAAGAAAAGCAACAAATCACAAGGGAAGAATTCAGAGAAAAAGAAAGGAACAGAGAACTATTAAAGCAACCAAAAAACAATTAACAAAATGATAATAAGTACATACTTATCAATAATTATTTTAAATGTAAATAGATGAAATGCTCTAATAAAAATGTATACAGGGAATGGATTTAAAAACATGACCCACTTATATGCTACTTACAAGAGACTCACTTCAAAAGCAAAAACAAGACATACAGATCGAAAGTGAAGGGACGAAAAGACAGCCCATGCAAATAGAAATTTAAAGAAACCTGGGGTATCAGTATTCATATAAGACTAATCAGACTTTAAAACAAAAAAAAATGTAAGAAAAGACAAAGAACATTTCATAATTATAAATGGGTCCATCCAAGAAGATGATATAATAATTGTAAACATCTACATACCCAGCATAGAAGCATCTAAATATATAAAGCAATTATTAATAGACATAGAGGAAGAATTCTGCAGTAATACAATAATAGTAGGGGGATTTTAGTAACTCACTCACATCAATAGAGCTCAGCCAGACAGAAAATTAATAAGAAAATAATGACCTTAAAGGTCACAATACACTAGGTTATCTTAATCGATGTTTTTAAAGACATTTTATGCCCAAACTGAAGAATACACAATTTTTTCAAGTGCACATGAAACATTCTCCAGGATAGATAACAAATTCGGTCACAAAACAAGCCTCAGTAGAAGATCCATGTGGCAGCAGAATAGGTGGAAGTTACACTCACCTCCTCTCAGGACCATATCAAAATTACAACTAAATTATAAATCAATCAACATAAATAACCATCTGAAGACTAGCTGAATAGAAGTCTTATAACTAACGATATAGAGATGAAGCACCTCATGACTAGTAAGAGGACCAGAAATGCAAAAAAGGTTGGCCCTTTTCCCAAGGTCAGCAGTTGAGAATCCAGAAAGATAGCTCAGCTGCAGGGGTGTCCCCAAGGAGCGATGGGATCCCCAGCCCAGAGCACCAGGGCAGGGAAGAGGAGCCCATATAATATCTGGCTGTGAAAATCAGCAGGGGTTCCATCCCCCTAGTTGAGATAAGAGACAGCTGGAAACATAGGCATCTTCTTAAAGGGCCAGGACAAACCATTTTGTACCCAGGTATTCACCTTGGGCTCTGGAGGAAACTGGAGTGATAGAGGGAGAGATTGGGTTGTGTGGCTTGAGGGGGGGTGGGGGAGGGGGACTGGAAGGACAGCCACCAATGTTCCTATGCTGAGTCCTCTCCCACACTGCCCACAAACATCATCTTTCCTGGGTTGAGCACAGCCCTCCATATGCCATTACTTTGGGAGATGCACTAGCCCAGGGGTGGGTAACCTTTTTTTGAGTGCGTGCCAATACCAGCAAAATCTCTGACTCAAAATTCTTCTGCGTGCCAACCCCAATTTTTTGAGAACATATTACGCCTACTTGATATCTCTTAAGGTGTACGTATGTGAAGAACCTTGAAGAAATAATAAAATTCATTCGAGCAAAAAAAACACAGTATGTGACGATGAAAAATACATTGTTTTTTAATGTATACATGTACACTGACAGTCCGACAGAAAACTTTATGGCTCCGTTTGATATTATCAGTGGGACTTTTGCTGCTGCATCACTGATGACAGAGATTTTACATCAGGTTTATATTTCGTGACCTTCAGAGATATGCACGAGCTACTACTTTCATCCGTCAGGCTACTCCTATTACGCGACTTAACAAAATTCATCACTGAGAACAAAGATTCACAATTGTAAATGGAAGATTATAAGAGAGGGTTTCACATGTCAGCAAGTTACTGGTGTGCCATGTTTGGCACATGTGCCAGGGGTTGCCCACCCCTGCACTAGCCCAACCTCACTGACTCCTTAAGGCCTTCCCCTGCCAAGCCCACACTTGATGGAAGAATCTGTTGATGGCACCCGCCTGGGCCTGCCATACAGTCTTTCTTGAAAAACACTTGACAGGCGCCATATTTCCTGTGCAAAGCCCTCCCTCCAATCTTACTAATAAAATGTTTTGACCTGATTAACTCTACTAGTCACACCCTGACATCTCCCTGAGTCTCTGCCCCACCACAAATGTCTGCAGACCCCAGGAGGGTGGCAGCTGACCCTGGTGTACCCTGAGCCTTTGCCGAATGGTCTCAGACCCAGCACTAACACTGCACTGAATTTACATCAGTATTAATGCAGTGA